GGCCTCCACCTACTAGCTTCTTGTTGCTAGTGGCTTCTTGTTCCTAGTAGTAATGGCCTCCAACCTAATAGCGCTGGTCTCCACCTGCTAGCTTCTTGATCCTAGTAGTAATGGCCTCCAACCTAATGGCAATGGCCTCCGCCTACTAGCTTCTTGTTGCTAGTAGCTTCTTGTTCCTGGTAGTAATGGCCTCCAACCTAATAGCAATGGCCTCCACCTACTAGCTTTTTGTTGCTAGTAGCTTTTTGTTCCTAGTAGTAATGGCCTCCAACCTAATAGCGATGGCCTCCACCTACTAGCTTTTTGTTGCTAGTAGCTTCTTGTTCCTAGTAGTATATAATTGCCTCCAACCTAATTGCGCTGGCCTCCACCTACTAGCTTCTTGTTCCTAGTAGTAGTGGTCTCCAACCTAATAGCGATGGCCTCCACCTAGTAGCTTCTTGTTCCTAGTAGTATATAATGGCCTCCAACCTAATAGCGATGGCGTCCACCTACTAGCTTCTTGTTGCTAGTAGCTGTTTGTTCCTAGTAGTAGTGGCCTGCAACCTAATAACGAAGGCCTCCACCTACTAGCTTCTTGTTGCTAGTAGCTTCTTGTTCGTAGTAGTAAAGGCCTCCTGCCTAATAGTGAGTGCGTCCCATTTGAATACAAAGTTTTGTTGTAACGAAACCCGCACACAGACTTGCCGGCGCAAGGAATTGTTCTCCTGGTCGGGGGCCCTGGGCAAGTGGCACACCACGTGTCCACAGCGACGTTGTTTGCCACTGATGTGCTTGGACACTGCTCAAGGGCACGGCAAATCATTCGAAGTGGAAGTTCCTTCACAACGGCTTGGTTGTTGTGCCGCTTGCTTAAGAGCGGGAGACACCAATTTGCAGCAAAACAATCCCGAGTACCTATTTACAAAACGCTAACAAAAACAAAAACTCGGGTCGGAGACCCCTGAATACGGTTTACATTTATGTTTAATTACCACTGTTTAAAGCCGCTGCTAAACTACCAACATGGTCGATTTTGGTGCAGTTTTTTTTAAAATTAGGTTCCAGAAAGCCCTACCTGTCCACCTGACTGCCTGGCTGACCCTGGTTGTCCCTCCACTGGCTGCCTGCCTCTCTCGTTTCGGCTGTGTAGCGGACTGTGTGTTTGGCTGGGCAGGTTGACATCCTCTTGCCCCAATCCTACAAACATGCCGCAGTATTATGCGTATATTATACAGTATATACTTGACCTTGGCTATACTAAAGCGGGGGTCTTAGAGGATCTCAACCTGACCTGCCTGGTCCCTCTAGCTGCCTAGTTTGCCTGGCCCCTGGCTCTACTGGCTGGCTGCCTCTAAACTGGCTGACTAGCTGTGTCTCCCTGGCTGTCTACCCACCTGGCTGGCTGAATAATATAGCTAGAATAGCCATCAGAGATCGCAAGATGATGGATTGGACCTGCCCATTCCACGCCCTTCCAAAAAACATCTAAAGGAATTCAACAAAGATCGAATTTGGACTGGCCGCTTTCTTTTTGGCGTCACAAGTCGGGTGAAAACCCTTCGCAGGTGTTGATCTACGGCTTTCCGGACACCTCGGTCACCGGTCCTCAGCTCTTGGCCCTGTGACCGCTGCGTTCGGAAAATATTCCGCCCGACCGCGGCGCGCCCTTCGCATGCGAAAAGCAGGAGAGGTGAAGGCGGATTTTAGGCGGCGAAGTTCGGGTGAAGCGGAGAGCTGATCCCACAAAGAATCTCAGAAAGACACTTTGTGTGTTTGTTGCTTAGCCTGAACCGGGTGTCCTCCAAATAGCAAGTGGGTGTCCAAATTTCTACCTGTCCGTTAAACTCCAAAGCGCAAGCTGGCAGCTTTTTCCACGGACTTGCAGCATTAGCTGCACTTTGCAAAAAATCAGCACTTGCACGCATCACGTGGCATCCGATTCAACACCATAATGATAGCAAATAGCACCACGTTCAATTGCCAGGCTCCATGCGCACATGCAACCAAGCCAGCAGGTCAAAATGCTGAATCTTCATTTAAGCTATGAAGCTTCAAGGCAAGCTTCAACTCACGCGACCATTTTACTCGAACAACTCTCACCTCTTCCTAAAGCCCCCCAAGAAGCTCAAATAAGCTTCAAGAAGCACGCATCACAAACTCAAACAGGTTGTGGTTGCCAGTAAACTGGCACACTGGCTGCCAGCTAGCTGGCAGTCAAGCAGCCTACCAAGGTTACGCGCACCCAGCTCAAACCCTGGCCCTTCTACCACTTGCTCTTGCTCAAAACCCCGCCCCTTCTACCATTTGGTCTTTGTTGGAAACTGAGCTGTCCTTACTGAACCAACACAACTTAACAGTAAAACCGTGACAAGTCCTTTACGCCAAACAGGTTTTGCAACACTTACTTGCTCCAAGTGAAAAGCTATTGGACCCTAGGTATACCAAGTGTTCGAGGTTTCCTGGCCAAAAAGATTTGGCTGGTTAAATTCTGACGGGTTTTCCTGGCCAAATGGATTTGGCTGGTCAAACTGTGACGGGTTTTCCCGGGCAAGTGGATTTGGCTGGTCAAATTGCGACGGGTTTTTGAAAACCAATCGCATTTTTGGTGGCCAAATCCATTTGGCTGAGTGGTTTTGCCCAGAAAACCCATCATGATCTGGAAGCCTGACTGGCCCCAGAAAAGCGATTGGCTTTTCGAAAAACCAATCGCAAGTCCATAGGTTTTGAAAAAACCAATCACAATTTGAAGTTCGGAGGGGGCTGGAAAGACAGTCTGACGGGCTGACGGGTTTCCATTTTCCTTACTTATGTGTTGCGAAGGGCTTTTTCAAAACCCATCACATTTTAGGGTTGGGGCCCGCGTCTGAAACGTGACGGACTTTCCTGGCCAAATCAATTTGGTTGATAAGATTGTGACGGGTTTTCCGTCTCCAACTCGTTCATTCCTGCAAGGGCCGGGCGCAAGGCGCTGAAGCTTCGGGCTGCGTCCGACTGCTCCAAGCATAATCTTCCAATCCAAGATCATCAAGCCTCAGCTCCTGAGCCCCAACGCAACGAAAATGTCAAACCGAGAAAGTTTCACACGATATTGCGCAATCAGCATATGAGCACAGTGATTGGTGCTTCCAGCTGGCTCAGGCAACCCTCGGGCCGCAAAGAAGATCAGACCTACATCAAGACATGAGTCCGCAGTGGGTAGAGAAGGATCTGGCAAATAGTGTGAAGTACGAGTTGGGCCTATTGAAGTTGCAAGGTCCCGGTCAAAAAGTCAAGCCTTTCCTTTTGCAGCTCGGACAGGTCCACGTTCTCCATCCGCCTGAAAGTGCTTAGAAAATATTGAAACAAACGCTCTATCAAAACGTTGCGCAAAACTTTTGAAATATATAGTGGTGCTAGGCTGTGGCGCCAGAAGCGGTGGATGATGTTGGTGGTTGTGAGGAAGGAGATGGTCGCTGCGGACTCTTCACGCGTAACGTCTCCATCACCATCATACCTCCACGCTGGCATGGCTGCCCACTACGAAGGAATCTAAATTCTTGAAGTTCCATGGTCCATGACTGCATATATATGTCTTGCATGTGTCAAGCGCATGTGGATGTTGCCTCATTCTTAGAGCTCTTTGCTCCCAAGCAGGGCCGAATTAACTACATGGCCGTGTTACATGGTTTTAACGGAGCCAGCAAGAAACTTGACATCATTGTATTTCTCAAAATCAAAAACCCACTTGCTACTTGGAAGACACCTGGCTTTCAGAGTTGTTAGCCTAGTCTTGGAATCTTAGAATGTCTTAGAGACTGACCCTGCTGAATGAGTCTGGAGGGGGTTGGGGTTCTAGTTGACGAATGTTCAGATCTGTGGATGAAAGCAAGGGTGTTGTCGCACTACTGTGGCGTGAAAGGCCCTCACTCACCCTCGCCCCTGTTTTCCATGAAGCAATTCATTTTTGAAGAAACTGGCCTCTTGCATGTCGCGCCGAGGCATGACTGGCCCCTGCTGGATGCGCTCGCCTCTTCAGCGGCTGCGCGATGCAATGAGTTTGAGGGCCAGGACACCTGCGGAGTCCCGCGCGATTCGCCAAGGTTTTTCGCAAAGGTGGTAGGGGTGAAACGGTGTCGACCTCGGTCCAAATCGGGGTGACGCCTGGTTTTTGATATTTGTTATGTTTTTTGTTTCTATTCCGGTACTGGTGTGCGGTCATGTTACGTTTTGTTCTTTAACAATATATACAGTTAAATATACAGTATTCATTTTTAACAACTTTGTAGAAACATTGTATCCTATCAGGGTCGTTGCACATTGTGTATTGCTGTTTTCTGGTGTGTGTGTGTGTCCCACCCTGGACAAAGGGTCTCACCCTACCACTTTCACACAGGCAGGGGGGCAGTGAGTCTCTTTCCATCCACTGCCCAACGAAGACGGTGGTTTGAGACTGTGACATTCGGAGAGGACGCTCTCTGAACGTACCTGCTGAGGTCCTTCACAAGCTGTCACCCTACTTTTCCACGATTTGATTCATGGTGGTTCCACATGATACTTTCCCCACAAACAGGTTTCCCACTGCACTGCAGCTGCTGACCGCCGCCTCCATTTGCGCTTGTCCTGAAACCTGTGTTAAACAATACATTTGAAGCTGACCTTTCCACCTTGCCGTTCCATCGCCTTTTTTCCCATTGAGACAATTGCGTTAACTGAAAATCCAAGTTCGAAGTGTGTCCTGCTCAGCCGTCCCACTCGGGTGCTGAGTGTGATCCCCGTCACAGGGGCGCTGTTTTTGCATGGGAAAGCAACCACCCCAACGCACCACCGCTCACTGGAACATCACAGGAAGGCACCGACACCCTCACAGAATCAACCGCCACACTGGCCGCCGGGCCAAAAAACGGTTCTTGAAGAATCCTTCAGATTCCGAACTTCTGATCTCAGATTTCAGCATTCAGTTTTCTTTTCATGTTTTCCAATCATGTGCGTGTTTCCCTGTTCGCTATGTTGCTGCCGCGATTGACAGAACTCAAGGATGAGCATTACGACTTTTCAGCTTAATTCGAGATGCATGAACACACACCTACTAACAAGCTTACATTTAACACCACCTTACAACATACCCACCACTGACACCAGAGATGACACATTCAACAACAATGACCAACCACAAGACAATACAACTCGGCACTTCTCCGCTGCTTTTTGCTGCCGCACCGCGCCGCGCCATAGCTACGACCACGACATGCAGTTTCCGTGGCCCTACGCTCACACCACGCCACCACCATTACCTACCACACAACCTCAACCCACATGGCCGATGCCACAAACATCAACTGCACCCACTTTTCCCTCGACACAACCATCGGCATACCCTCACCCACAACCACAACCTTTTCAACCACCACCGTTGTTACCCACCCCTACCGCCACTGCACTGACTTACGGCACACCATCCACTTGGACTTTTGTCCACCTATGTCACGCGCCACCGCAACCTACACATCCAACTCCAGTGTTTCCGACAGCAGCACCTCCCCCGTCCTACCTGTTGCCACCACCTCAACCCACGCCGCCGGCGGAACTTCCTCCCCCCCACTACACTGACACATCCCCCTCCAACACAGCAACAGCCTGCGACTGCCAATTATCCATCCACAGACCCCCAATACGCCATCCCCCAGGGCGTTTGGCAACCATATTCAGCCTTTCCCCCCGTCACACAGCCTTCACTCCAACCGGGGCCCCCGCCACCGCCTCCACAAACTACCAATGCCTCAACACCAACCCAACCTCCATTTCAACCGCAGCTACCATCGGATCCAGCACCACCGATCCAACCCATCCCCACGACTGCCCAGGACAATCCACTACCAGTCCAAAACACACCTCCACCAGCCACCGTATCCCAACATTCAGCATCCCCCTCGCTGGTATCTGCCACACCAGCACCTGGAACTTCACTACCAGCACCAGACAAACCTAACACCACTGCCTCACCAGCACCGCAACCACCTTCCCCGCCACCACCACACAGCAGTCACCGTCACCGCCACAAGAGCCGACGCAAGTCCGACCATCACCACAGAGGACGCCACCGCCACCGCCGCCGACATCGCCATCACCGCCATTCCAAACACCATAGCACAACCCGGCGACGGCGGTCGCCTTCAACATCCACCTACACATCTAGCCTCACACCATCCCGCAGTCGGTCACCACCACCACCCATTGATCTACGCCCAAACACCGAACACACCAACCCTGACCCCTCACAATATCCCACCACAGCCGTCATTCGTCGCCCACTCAACCGTTGGCGACCTCCACCCAACTTTCACACCTTCACACCTGCAGACCAAATTCTGGAATGGCTCGAATTCCACGCCACCCAACTTGACAACCCCAACCGACCACACCACCAGTACATTGCCAATATCCTCACAGACTGCAACATCACCTACAAGGAGATCACCGATTTCCGACAATATACCCACGCTAAGTGGAATGACACAACTCACCAATACGACCAATTCCAGTACTATGCCATTTCACTTCCCTTCCTCAACACCAAAGCCACTACACCAGAGCCACCTGCGGTTTCCCGCGCCACATCAACCCACCGGGAAGTCGCCCACATCAACGCAGGCCACACAGGCCCCGTCGGTAACATTTCCAACATTCTACGCCAAGGCCGG